ACATACTTGTGCTAGCAATAAATGAATTGGGCAGTAAATGTTGTTGCATTATAATCTACAACTTTGTTGTCATTTGTTGGGATACAACATAATCACTGATAATTTCTATAATTTATTACAGTGCTAAACTCTGTAGCATATTTATCATTTGGGACTTTTACTGAATGATAAACTGCTCTTCAGGCCTGACCCAGCAAATCTATACACAGGCGCAACTCCCACTAACTTGAGCAAGAGCCTGCCAAAGCACCACAGGACCAGGCATCTTATTAGCAGGGCATTCAGGATGTATAATTCACTCATCCATGAAGGTTATGGAGTTTCTGTAGTTCCTTTTTGTCCAGAATTATGATCCAAATTTCAATTGCACTTCGTTCTTTGCCTGAAATGTGTAAAACATTTTATTAATTTTCTGTTGCTTTATTTTGAAATAATACATGAAACGAAGTTAATTAACTCTACCGCCTTCATTCAAATAAACGTATACATGCCATAAGATTGTACTGACCTCAGATTATAACAGTGAATGCATATTAAAATTAATGTCTTTCAACCATTTGCCTTAATCTGGATTGCTCTTCTGTGGTAAAGTCATTCCTCTTAAAAAGAATTTACTTCCAAATATTGAAATATATACTTAATTATAAAACTAGTTAAAAGCAGAGCTGGCTGAAACTTGAGGAAAAATAATGGAAATTTGTCAACCAGCTCTACTTGATTGAGCAATAAGTCAGACAAAAGCACGTCTTTTCATTCCTACCATATTCTGTTTCCACTTCAAAACTGGTAGAACTGAGTGCAGGAAATTGACTTTTAACCTCACGTGTAGTCATGTGAATAAGGGTGCTAGGTCATGGCAAAACTTCCTCTAGTGTCCTCTCTTCAGTTTAAGCCTCAGTTAGAGGCCCTTGCTTAATAGAGGCATAAGATTATAAAGAAATAAATATATAAAAATAAAATTGTATTGAGTTAGGCCTAGAAGCTCCACTCAGAGGTCAGGACCTCATTGTGCTAAGCACTAAGTGAGTATGCTATCTTCATACCATTCATACCAGTTCTTGCTCCTTTGAAGTCCTTTGAACTTTTGTCACTGACTCCAGTGAGAGCAGGAGTGGACTTTAGTACCTGGAGCCTGAGCACAAAACCCCCAAATATTGAGCCAATCAGATGAGGGGCAGACAAGGGTGATCTTTAATAAATCAATGACTAGCATTAGGTATAAAGATTATTCAAATGACTGAGACACTGGCAGAGCATTAAACGGAAGGATTCTCCCTCCTTCCTAATAATCCTGAAAGCAAATGTTCTCCTTCTCAGAGTAATATGTTAACATCCATTTTACACACATCTTTGCATAACTTTTATGTAAGTATCAAATGAAACCTGCTGAACTTAGGGAAACCTACATGGTGATTGATCTCATTTACATTGTTCAAGTTAAACATCCTTAGAAGCCTAACTGTGAAGATTGTTAAATATCAAGGAGTCGGGACTAAGGGTGACCAGATAGCAAGTGTGAAAAATCAGGACAGGGGGTTGGGGATAATAGGAGCCTATATAAGAAAAAGCCCCAAATATTGGGACTGCCTCTATAAAATCGGAACATCTGGTCACCCTAACCGGACTCCTTGTTGTTTTTGTGGATACAGACTAACACGCTACCCCCGATACTGTTAAATATGTACAGACACTCCCCGGGTTACGCAAACCTGACTTACGGAAATCCGGACTTACAAAAAAAGTACTGTATATTCCGTAAGTTTTTTGTGTGTGTGTAATTATCGGAGATATTACCGACTTACGCAAAATTCAATTTACGCAAGCGTTCCGTTCCGGAAGTCGGGGAGCTTCTATAATGCTTCTGGAGCCAGAGCACCTTGGAGGCTGTGGGGTAGTTCAGGGAGATGGTGGCTGGAGGCATGACACCAGGCAGGAATAGGCATAATGCCTTTGGGAAGAAGAGTAGGTAAAGAGAGAGAAGGGTTAGCTCCTTAAAAGCCCTTGCCACACTTCAGTCCTAAACTGCAACATCCCAGCTATTTCATGTTCCAGTCCTACGTCTCTTAAATAGAAATTTGGTGCAATTGTCAATTGCAAAAACCGGCACACTTCAGAGGAGCCACGGCAAAACAATGAAATCACTTTCACTGGTGACTAAAAAGGGCAATTGAACAAACCAACCCCCATGTCTCCCAAGCACCCAACCATTTGAACACTGATCTTTCTGACCTTCATGAGCATTTTAAATAAAACATCCCAGAACATTGGAAAGGACAAGGAAATTCATTCTATTTCTGGTGAAACACCCTTTCCTCTAGTTCATTCATTCTCAGGACTGCTTATCAGTTTTACAAACCCACAGTTAGTGGTCAAGATCACACTAAATCAAGGCTTGTAAAAGTAGTACCAGATATATTTGTAGTTTAATCTAAACTCAGTCACGCCTACTCCTTCCTTACTTCTGTAAAATGACAGATTGGGTTTTCTTATGGTCCTCTTTGACATTTTCAGTGCAGGCACTTGGTGATCAGTGCCCCCTACCAGTTGGGTGAGAAATGCCAGAAAAAGATAAAAATGGGATCTACCTGCTGCCTACTGGTTTTTATACCCAAGCCCTCAAATTCCATTACC